TCTCTCTCTCTCTCTCTCTCTCTCTCTCTCTCTCTCTCTCTCTCTCTCTCTCTATCTATCTATCTATCTATCTATCTATCTATCTATCTATCTATCGTGTCGTGAAGCATTTACCACCGTGCACGTCGACGTGGGCGCGCGTTTTCAGGAGGATCACATTGTCGTAGTTCAAAACCTCAAATGATTGTATCTGGCCATCGTTCCCATATTGCCGTTTGGAACTCATCTGGCAATCTCTGTCGGAAAACGACGAACCCGCACAGCCGAGAAAAAGCGACATATCAATTGTAACGATTCTGCTTTGGTTCGAGATTTGCACGACCAATAAGCAGATTCATGCACTGTTGCAGATGCTCCTCCAGCCCAGAAAAAGTCACAGCCTCCTCCAAAAGCGTTACGGGTCCCGGCCACCGACTCCTAATCTCGGCGATTGTCAGCTCCTCGTCGCGGAAAGGATCTGTATTTGTCCCATTTCCAAATTTTCGGCTCGCACGCCAGCCCTGCGTCATCGGCGATCCATGTATGGGAATGGGTGAATATTGTTTTGTCGCTTATATGTGAATTTTTAGAAATCTACAAAACAGAACATTACGGGCACCGATTACCTTAGTACTGTACCTCCACATAACGAAAACGAAAACAAATTTTAAAACGCAAAGCAGGCGAATAAAAAAAAACTGAAAACATATAACAAACACATGGGAGATGACGATTGCATATGTATACACAAAATGTACAATCTTTGAAACCATCATTTTGTCTCTCTCCAACAACGAAGAAACATAGGGAAAAAAAAATGAATGGTACTCATCGCTGGATCGCACTGCAAGGATAAAATATGGCAGAGAAATCCTCGCCATCGGACACAAAATAGGGCGGTGATACGACCAGGCACCAGACGCCGTCCCGAGCGACGGTCCCGAAGTGTGTGTATAGTATACGATGCACAAGGGGGAAGACGATATCATACATCAAATCACCGTCGACCGCTTTGAGAACAAAGGTACCGAAGTACGTGGTTGGCTTAGACATTAGGACACGAACGTGTTCGATGGCAGGGTCACGAATATAAGTCTCTGTAGTGAGTCTGACGACTCATTCCTCCTCGACGCTGACAACGAAATGACGATCCACCTTCTTGTCTCCATTGCGGTATTCCACTGCATCGCCGACAGGATCTGTTATGGGAGTCATTGATTCGTAATAGTATACGGTGTCGCCGCCTGTCAGTTTTGTGGTGTGGTAACATCGGAAAATCATTGGCGCGCAATGCATCATCGCTTCTTTCGTATGACGTTTGAAAAGTGCTGCAATTTATAGAAACCAACACCGTAAGTTATGAACCCAATGATCGAGTAACGAATAATGCAAACATGATATTCTGCATGTACCGTACGGGGAGGGGGAACGCCCTGTATACATATATATGGGATGAGCGGGTAGTCGCGGTCTCGAACACTGTCGAATGTTAAAAACCTTTACGATTTTGTTCGCCAACCCACCTGTTTCAGACTACGCATGAGACGAGTGGGATGATGGTTCGTTGACACTTTGGCACTGTTGTCCGCAACCGTCCTTTGGCAACACACTGTGCACATCTCCGTGGAGAAAACTATGGCATTGCAGTGTCCGGTCGAGTTTGGAGAAATACCATGCCTTGCATGCTAACCTTTCCACATGCTCGACCGCAACAACTGACACGATGCACCTTAGCAAACGATCAATCATATCGAAGTCGGGGGGTTCGCAGGCGCCGAGAACGACATCCGAAAGCTTTTTTGCGTGCATTACAACCTCATCAAGGCAATCATGGTCGTCGTACCCCAGCCCCGCCACGACCCTCAGAGCGAGGGTGTCATCGATGAACGCGTAGTGCACACATGTTTTCGTGGCGACAACCCCTTCCCAGTATTCAAAGTCTCTTTCGTTTTCAGTATCGCGCTCACATACTGTCTCTCTCCCGACGATTTCTTTTCCATCTACAGCGTCTTTCACTACAACAACTACGCGGCCATGTTGTGTTGCAAGGTCGAATAAGTGAACCTGACAATTATGAACAATCTCAATGGCTGACCGACGACACTGCGAAAGATGACGACAACACAATGCATACGATAAGCGACGGACACAATGAGTCGAGTCTCGCAGCTGCAAAAAAAAATAATAATAATAATTACGAACAGTGGTATGTTGGTTGGTTAGTTGGGTGGTTAGGTGGTTGGGTGGTTGGCTGGGTGGTTGAGCGGATGGATGGGTGGTTGTGTGGCTGGTTGCTTGGTTGGTGGGTGTGTAGGTGGACGGTTTGGTGGTTTGATGGGTTGGTTGGTTGGTAGG